TAGAATGAATGTAAAACTAATGTTCTCCCATGTAACCTATCACATAACTCACAATAAAACATTAAAAATAAATAAATAAATAAATTACATGAAAAGAAATAATCTTAAAAGAAAATCTGGACTCCATATCCCAAAGAACAATTCTGAGAAAAGGAATATCTATGTTTATTGACATAATAAGAAAGAGTAAGAAAAATTCTATGCGAAAATAGTCAAAAATCATTCCAAATTCTAGATTCCATGAAAATTTGAAATTCTGTTCTGCATTTCCCTAATAGTAATCAGAATTATTTGATGGAGTCTTTGATAAAAATGTTCAGTAATGGTAAGCAGGCACTATACAATTCTTCTGGTCTCACAGTAGACATAGTTGTTCATGGAGGCAGTTAGACGTATGTTCCATTTCCTTCTCCTATTCTGACTCTCCTTCCATTAATGCGCCAGGTAAACAGAGACAAACTGCTGTATCTTAGATGGCCATTTGCAACTTTTTAAGACCCTAGGTACCAAGCAATGAGTTAGGAGGTACAATAGAAGCACTAAACACAGTATTAGGTCATTTAACTGAGACGTCTCTTGAAACCATGATCCTAAATCTCCAAACTAAAGAACCAAATCCCACAAGGTGTTTGGTTATACATAAGCAACCTTGGCAGCTATGAATCCCTAAAACTATTGTCCTGAGATATTCTCTAAAACATAAAACAAAAATATCCCCAAATCTTCTTAAAAACCAAACAACAGTTTGTTGTTGTTGTCGTTAGAAGCCATCAAGTTGGTACCAACCCACAGCGACTTTCTGCACACCAGAACAAAACACTACCAGTTCCTGGGCCAATCTCACTATTGTTGCCATGCCAAAGTGGCAGCATCAATGGGCTCAAACAACAGTTTAGCTTAACTAATAAAGAATGTTTACCTTGAGCTTTGTATTCTTTTAAGATCTATCTGCATTAGATCAAACTGATAACAGCAACTCAAAGATTAAATAGAAACCTTAGAGGTAATGAGTTTACATAAATTGGGGAGAGACATCTCAGAAAAGGAGGCTGAGGATTGGTGGCACAACTCCAAGCAGGTCATCAATGTCACTGAATTGTACATGTAGAAATTTGTTGAATGGGTATATGCTCTGCTGTATATATCCTCAATAACAACAAAAATAAAGTAAATGTATTTACTAAAAGTCATTCAAAACCATAAACAAAGCAAGCAGCCACTAAATATTTTTAAATTCTTATATTCTTTAATAGAAAAGTTTTATTAAGATTTATATAGAAGAAAAGAATTTTGAAGCTTGCAAATAAACTCCACGGAAAACATAATACTAACACAATGCTAAAGCAGTTTATCTAACCAATAAGAAACCCTCCAAAGGTTAAATATAACTTTATTTTTAACATGTAATTCATGAAGTCCTTTTCCTCTGATGAGCATTCCAGGTAAGACAGCAAAATGGAAGAAACACAGGACATGGAATCAAAAGTCCTAGGTTCAAATATTCTGTTAATCTGTCATTCACCAAGCTATAATGTGGGCAAGTCACTCCATCTACCTGTGTCTCACCTTTTGTATTCTCAAAACAGGTATAATACACATAATTATTTGCCTCACCCAGGTAAACTTTGCTGATATTCAACTAAGAACATCAGTGTGAAAAAGTGTTGTATACATAAAAACATCACCAATAATGCTTACCTTGTTTGTAGTGTGATACTTTCTACTCAGCTGTTCATCTATTCCAGCACTCTGTTCTGATCCACCACATGCCCTGGACTGGCTCATCTGGGGCCACTGGGAAGTGAAAGAACAGACAGACAGTAAGCAATACCAAGCATTCACTCAACAGGGTTCAACTGAGCAAAGCGGTTTCCAAGTAAAGACTACAGGATCTTTAGAGTATCCATGATCAATACTTAGAATGGTGTATGTTGCAGAGTAGGTGCTCAGTAAACACCTGTTGAATACTTGAATAAATAAAAGGACTCAGTTCTAGAAAACTGGAACCAAATCTAAGTTAAGTCTGGGAACTAGAATTGCAATTGGAAAGAGCAAAGACATTCATATTCAACATCAGTCAATCTTGAGTTCAAACTCTACATGTACCACTCATAAGCTAGGTGACCCTGGGCAAATTACTGAGTCCAGTTGTAGTAAAGAGATTGGTATGCAAAGTACCTTTCACATATAAATAGGATAAGCTGGCATCATCATCATCAATATCCCTGTTACTCAGATCAGAATGACCTTTCTTTATGTTCACATTGCATGTGAATGCAATTTGGCAATTTGATAACCATTATTTAAAATAATTATACTACAGGTACTATGCTATTTTATGGAGTTCTGGGGTGCCATTTTAGGGTAAGCACTTGACCACAAGGTTTGATGCTTTAAACTCATCAACTATTCCTTGAAAACCCTATACAGGGTTGCTATGAGTTGGAACCAACTCAACGGCACTTAACAGCAACAACATATTAATTTATATTTCCTAACAAGAAGCAGTCCTTAGAACAGAACAAGGGGATACTGAATGGTTTAACATCAAGAAAGGTGTGTGTCAAAGTTATACCTTTCCATCATACTTATTCAATCTGTATGCTGAGCACATAATCCGAGAAACTGGATTACATTAAAGAAGAACATGGCATCAGGATTGGAGTAAGACTCATTATAAGTTGTGATATGCAGATGACACAACTTTGCTTGCTGGAAGAGAAGACAGCTTGAAATACTACTGGTAAAGATCAAAGACTATAGCCTTCAATATGGACTGCACCTCAGTGTAAAGAAAACAAAAATCCTCACAATTGGACTAATAAATAACATCATGATAAAAGGAGAAAATCTGAAGTTGTCAAAGACTTCATTTTGCTTGGATTCACATACAAGCGCTCATGGAAGAAGCAGTCAAGAAATCAAGTGATGGGCAAATCTGCTGCAAAAGACCTCTTAAAAGTGTTACTACACTAATCATCACAAGGTCAGCAGTTCAAACCTACCAAGCTGCTCAGAAGGAAAAAGATGAGGCTTTCTGCTCCCGTAAAGACTTACAGCCTCATAAATTCAATACAGGGTCACTACAAAACACTACACAAGGTCACTATGAGTGACAGTATCTAACAACAACAAAAACTGTTAAT